ACTTAGTAAGTGGCCTGAGGAACGGTAAAGCAGCAGGTAAATGTGGCATCCCAGCTGAACTGTTAAAGGCTAATGGTGAACCCATGGCGCGGGAGTTGCATGTTGTCCTGGCTGCCATCTGGCAGTCCGGTACCGTTCCCCCTGACCTGTTGAGGGGTGTGGTCATCCCTCTCTGGAATGGGAAGGCGGACCGATGGGACTGCATCAACCATCGAGTTATCACATTGCTCAGTATACCAGGCAAGGTTCTCGCCCACATCCTTCTGAGTCATATCAGAGACCACCTACTGAGGCATCAGAGGCTAGAGAAATCTGGATTCACTCCTGGTAAGTCCACAATAGACTGAATCCTTGTGCTTCGAGTCATTGTAGAGCACTGTTGTGAGTTAGGGCGTAGGCTGCTTGCTGCCTACATCAACCTCAAGAAGGCATTTGATATGGTGCATCAGGAATCACTCTGGGAGATTGTGAGACTGAGAGGAATTCCAACAAGGATTATTGGACTAATAGCAAGCCTGTATACTGGTACTGAAAGTGCTGTAAAGTGTGGTGGGGGCCTGTCAAGCTTCTTTCCTGTTAGTTCAGGAGTGAGGCAAGGTTGTGTCCTTGCACCATCACTTTTCAACACTTGCATGGACTGGATAATGGGTAGAGCTACTGTTCAGTCATTGTAGAGCGACTCTGGGAAATATCATGGACAATGACCTTGACTTTACTAATGATATTGCTATTTTATCTGAGTTCTTGGAATCCTTAGTGGTGGCTCAAGTAATGAAGCGAAGCCCTTGGGTCTAGAGGTCTCCTGGACCAAGACTAAGATCCAGGACTTTGGGGACTTGCTATGAGAACATGTTCAGTCGGTCGTGCTTTTGGCGAGGACACTGAAGTCACAGAGAGCTTTACGTACCTTGGTATTATAGTTCATAACTCTGGGCTGTCAGACCAGGAAGTCAACAGACAGATTGGCCTTGCAGCAGGGGTCTTGAACTCTCTTGACAAAAGAATTTGGAAATGTCGGTACCAAGCTATGCATCTTCAAGGCCCTGGTAATGCCAGTTTTGCTATACTGTGGTGAAACCTGGACATTATCCTATGTCTTGGAGTCTCGTCTTGATGCCTTTTGTAATAGGTCCTTGAAGTTGTGGCTTGGGCAGATCAATCAAGCCTGTCATGAGGAGCTCGAGATGGGCTGAGACCCTGCCTGGCAGCTTGCCATGAGGGACCCTCATAAGTATAAACAAAGGATGGAATGCGGCTATGCGGCCCTGTAGATGTTAGCTCCATAATGATAATGCTGATGATTTTTACAAGAAGCACATGAATAAATTGCAAAAACTAATTGCATCATGCAATAGATCTACTGTTCAGCTACAGCATGAGCCATAATACATTTATCTCCGACAAAATATGCATGTGCTATGCGTAAATATGCAATGTATAGGAATATCGCAATTTTTTCCTCTTTATAGTTCTCACATTTTGCATAACAAATGAAATATTTCTATATGATGTAATCATCCATAATTTCCCTTTATTATTGCTCTATTTGGGTTTTAAAACATATACTGGTCTGAAGTATCATCGTTCTCCATGCCAATGGGGAAACGAGAAAAGGGGCTGCACGCACATGTTCTTGAGGCAAGGTTCCCAGGCCTTGTACCTACAGGATGAAATACCCACCTCTCACACCAACACTCCTGTGAAATGCAGGTATACAAATACAAATGCATACATGATATACAAGTATATACAGATCATTTCCAATTATTCCATGGCCTTATGAGGGTTGGTCTTGTATTTTGTGAAATTTTATATGCTCTCTGAAAATAATTTCATTTTTCTATCATTTATAATCGTTATGTCACAATTACCAGTTTTTGAAGGTAAGGTGAAAAATCATAATATTTCGATGGACAACGATAGTGGCTGCTACCACTTTAATAATTGTGGGTGGGCCTTAAAAATTTCAGGGGAGATTCAAAGGCCCTGAAACTCTTTGGAAATGTATATGACTCACAATCAGCATTTTGGAGAAAAAACTTGGTAGACAATCCCCTTAATGACTTTTAGCCGATAGAGGATCTGCCCTGAAATTTATCTCAAAGCTTATAAAGAAAAATGGAAAAAAGAAAAGAAAAGGGAAAAAGAAAGAAAGAAAGAAAGAAAGAAATAAAAAAAAAAAAAAAAAAAACTGGCACTGTACATAATACAGTTAGCTGGGTATATACAATGTCTACTATGGCTCTGCTTTCTTATTTTTTCTTACACACATATGGCTTCATAAGCACAAAGTAACCAAAGAGTCAATTATCAAGCCTATCTTTCCTCTATTGCTTACCAATTCTTTGTCTTATTTTTTGTCTTTTTTAGGGAGGTGGGGGAATTTGTTTCTATCAGTATCATTATACATATTATTATTGATACTTTTTATTACAATAATATTATCAACAATAATAATAACAGTGAATACAAAACTTTTCTTCTAGAATGTTCAAGGTATGGAGAAAGTATGATTACGAGCTGACTCCTTAGTGATAAAGTGCATCTAGTACCATCAATGTATTAACAATGTTAATAAAAGAAAACCACAGAGGACAATACATGTATGGGCCTAAATTAATTCCTGGCATCAAGGGGAAAGGGGAAGCAATATGTCAATCAACAAACTACTTTTTTATCACATTCAACCAGACTTTACTTTTTCTTCCAATTGAAGTTTTCAGATTTCAGATATACTTACCACCGTACCTTACTTCATACAAATCACTATTATATACCAAGACTTAGCTACTTACATAAGGCTGTTGTTCCTGATGACTAAGATGGTTGGCAGGCCTTGAATCTTGGGTGTTACAACCCTGTCAACCTTAACCTGGGCTCCACAGCCACCACTTCCACTGGATTCGGATCCACAGATTAAAGACACTCCAGTCTGAGTCTCTGTTTGTAAGTCTACGAGGCACTGGTCCAATGGACACTCATCAGCACTCACATAAGCTGCCATTGTGTAGGAAGTTGCTGGTGCTAACTGGCTTTCATGGTCTATTTTACACACTGGACATTTCCATCTGTTAATGGAATAGATGGTTATTTATTCAAATGTTCTGTTTAATAATAGGAACATGATTGTTTTCTTTGAAATTCATTTCTTAAAGTTTTAGGAAATTTCAATATAATATGTGTGTATATATATATATATATATATATATATATATATATATATATATATATATATATATATATATATATATATATATATATATATATATATAGTATATATATAGATAGTAAATATGTATGTAATGGTTTTGGTTATGGATATGTGTATATATACATTATATCAATATACATTTGAAACATGTTTATGTACATGCATACATAAGTGTTACACGTGTATGTGTTACACAGAAATATGTATAGGTTACATATGCATATGTATATATTATATATCTGTATAAATTTAAAAACACAAACAGTCAACTACTTACCTGGCTAATCTCATGAGAGATGTACTGAAAAGTGGACTAAGTTCTGGTCCCAACCTTGGGTCTGCTATAAGTGTGTCAATAGTATTTTCCAAGAATTCAGATACACATTTCAGCACTTCATGGTCTGCATCCTTACGCATTATTTCTTGTGTAGCAAACATCCCAATCTTTTCAAACAAACTTCCTGGACTGCATGCTATTGCCCTGAAAAATAGGTGAATGGCAAAAATTAAAATAACTTAAATATCTAAATTAGATAATTTGTCATTTTATCTGATAAAAAGTTAACCAGCTTTATAGGATCTCTAAATACACATAAAATGTCCTTTGTGCCAAATCTTCCTTAACCTCAATACTATTTATTATAATGGATTAAAATACAGGAGTGATATATTGTATAGTATGTATTTTCTTTAGATATTTTTATATACACATTAACTTGATTTCTTATACAATCAGTATATTTGTATGACTCATTAGGATTTCTTTAGATATTTTTATATACACATTAACTTGATTTCTTATACAAGCTCATGTAAAGGTTCACTCTATATACCATAATGACGATACATATGATCATAGAATGGTTAATAGTTATTGTTTGAAACTAATAAATGTTCTAGACATTAAAGGTCATATAGCACTATGGTAAAATATTGTGGCAAAAATGGTAAAAATGAGTTAACAATTAACAACATACTGCCAGGGATAGCATGTGCGTATATGCCATGCCCACTGTGTGTTGAATTTAGTAATTGTTTTTACATATAGATGGCTCCAACAAGACTAAGTCACCAATGAGCCAATTACGAGAACTACCTGTCTCACCTGTTTACCCTTTTCTTTGTTTTTTGATATTTTCAAATATTTAAAATTGCTGCTAGTAATGTCAAAAACAATATACTTATTATAATGTTTATAACAAACATGTTTCAATATTGATAGCATTAGTAAAAAAAGTGTTTTCCTGCTATTTCAAGGAAAGGTGAGGTCACAAGATCTAATAATTGACTCCTTTGTGTTTAACCACTGGCAGTCATCTATGTACAGAAACATTTAACAAACCAATACTAAAGTGAATGCAACATTTTCCTGTCGACATTGGGTTCAGATAAAATGTGTTAAATGCCAGAGGTTATAGTGTTAGGGGATAGTATGATAGGGAAATGGTAAAGAGGGGGTGAAAATGAAATAAATTGAAGATTAGTAAAAGAAAGGGTTAAGGGCATAGGGCCATATTGGAATATCTGGCTTTAGACTGGAAAAGGAATTTGACTGAGTGAGAGGGGGAGTAGAGGTAGAATGGATCAGGGTAGAGGAAAGAGATACTGGGGAAGATGCAGAGACATCTTGAGAAGATTGGAGGGGAGCAGAGAGAAGGACTGTTTTGAGTGAAATGGATTATATCAGTGGCTGGGGAAGCAATTAGAAAAACTGGCAAAGGAGCTATTATGAAACTATCAACGGATAATACAAGTAGAGATGGCTGTTGGAGAAGTAGCAGGAGAAGAATCCAGGGGATGAGATAAGGTCTGCGGAAGAATTAGGAAGTGTGTCAGGAGGGGGAGTCATTAAGAAGACACTGTTGCAACAGAAGGGATTCACGTGAGTATCCAGGTGGGAGAGGTAAGGATAATGGGGAATAAAGATGGAATGATGCAGATGGAGAAGGAGAGGATGGGGTGTGTTGGGAAAAAGTGGGAGGAAGAGGGGTTGGGGGAACTTGAGGAGGAGGAGGATGTATATCGGCAAATACTCTGAATTTAGAGGGAATAGGAATAGAGGGATTGGAGGGTGGATGAGGGAGCTGAACATTCTATTGGGTCATATCTAAGAATTTTTGGATATCTTCAAGGGTTTCTAGAGGGGAGCTGGGTGGGGAAATCTGAGAAACAAAGGTTCTCTTGTGAGAAGGAAAAGAGGAGATAGATGTTTCAGGAGCAGAGGAAAAGGAGGGTGTAGGAGAGGATGTGGTAGATGAAGATGGAGTGGAACATTTTTGTTGTCTGATGCCATAGGTAAAGTGAGAAGGAGGAGGGGATTGGAGAAGTGGTAGAGATTGGAGTATCTGGATTTAGACTGGAAAAGAAATTTGACAGACAGGGAGTAGAGGTAGAGTGGTTTGGGGTAGAGGGAAAAGATACTGGGGGAGATACAGAGAAATCTTGAGAAGATGGGAGGGGCAAAGGACAGTTTTGGAAAAGGGAGAGAGAAAATCCTCGTCATCTTGCTTCCTGTCTGGCCTCAGGTAATGTGAGGCCTAGTCTTAGTCTGAGAACTGCTACCTTACATTCCAGCTTATAGACAAGGCAGCCTCTATAAAATACATTATGGGAGCCACCACAATTGGCACGCATACATGAATGAGCAAGGCAATTTGAATGGGCATAACCAAATTGAGCACATAAAGGGCAATGGGCTGTGGAGTGACAGTGTTTGGCTGGGTGGCTAAAATGCCAACATTTCTGACATTGACAAGGCAGGGGTTGATCTGGTTGGACAGGGCAGGACACTCTACCAGTATAAACTTAATGGGGGAGGTCATGTCTGTGGAAGCTAATCCTGGTAATACTGGTGTAAGACTTACACTGCACTATAGTCAACAAGGCAGGCAAGCAGGTCACTTTCACAATCTGACCACTTCTTGTTGTATATAGGACAATCAGTCAGGGAGATGGAAACAGTTATGCTACAGGTGTTAAGAAAGGAGTGAGGTTTGGCAGGAATAGGTTTGCCAGTGAGGTCTGTCAGGATAGATAGTGCACAAGCTTGGGACTCAGATGTAATTGTCACAAGGTGTGAGCGATCAGAATGACTGCAAAAGGAAACTTTACCTCCATGTTTTTGGAAACATTGTTGGATGAGAAGGGTATTGTCAGAGATTGTATGGGGAATCACAAAAAATCGATCCTACTTGGCTGGACCAAAGACATAACTAAAAAGGTTTGTAGAGGTGGTAACAGTAGAAGTACGAGGGTGGGAGAAAGATGGGGTGGTGTGGGATGAGGTAGTACTGTGGGGAGGAGGACAATAAGGATGAAGAAGGGAAGGGGGTAGACAATGAAGAAGACTGTGCAGTAGGAGATGGAGTGAGAAATGTTGGGAAAGAGGAAAGAGTGCTTTCTGAAGGTTCAGCAATAACCTAGGTGGGTGGTACAGAATGGACAGAGTTGTCAGTAGACATTGAGGAGAGGGTATTAGTATCAGTGGTCAGAGCTATGGTCAATGGAGCTGCAGGAGTCAGAAAACAAATGAAATCAAATTTAGATAAGGTAGTTGATGAAGGGGCAAGCCTTAATGCCCCTAATAAGGCATTAAGGCATTTACCCTAAGAAGAGTAAAAAAATCATTATTGGCCATGGTGACCCTGAAATCAATGGGGAAAAGAATGGTCTACCCCACAGGGTGCCCATAAGGGTTGAGGGCAATGCTATTAACAAAGGGCATATTGTGCCCATAGTTCCCAGAGGCCTTTCATGACTGACAAAGAGCCAGCCTTTCATCCTTTCAGCATGGCTTTTACACCCTAGGAAGTGGACAAAAGAAGGGGATGAAGAAGAGAAGTAAAAAGAAATGGGGTGAAGAAAAGACCATGCACAATTAGTTGAGGCAAAAACCGAGACCCAAAGTAGGGGCAATCTCCTACACTAGGCTTCAGTCAGTTTCCTAATCCCCCCCCCCCCCCTCACCATGACAGCAAACAGCAATGGACTGGGAGGGGGAGGGGGGGTGGCATGAAAATAGTAACAGCCAAGTAGAAAAATCATGGAGCTATACCATAACTATTTTAACAAATGAAACCCTAGGTCTTACAAATTGACTCTATAACTAATGAGCAATAATCAACCAAGAGAAGTTTGTCTTTCAATAGCAAGGATCTTTGGCATGTTTTTAATGCTCTCTTGTCAAAGCATGGTCAGCAGGGGTAAACACACAGAAGTTTCAACCATCCGGGTATGGTGCACCTTCTATAGAATCTGCTGTAACCTTCTCTTATATGTTGTAATTATAGTATCATAATAAACTTCCAAGAAGACCTTGTTGATCAAGTTAGGATTAACCCTATCATAGGGCCTGCATTTTTTGTGATGTAATATTATGCTATAGTCTAGACTTTGTGGCTAGGCCTAAGCTGTGTACAGTCGTCCCATCTGTTGTCAGTCATGATGTGTATATATGTCATAGCCCATTATGTCATGATGGTTATAGCCATACCCATTACTGAAGGGTTAAATCTATCATCTATGAATTCTGTATCCTTTTATAAGGCAAAAGGTCTGACTCCACACTGTCAACTCCTTATGAATCTCAGGGTTGTCATTCTTAACTTAAGATATAAATGACATGCTTCCTCATCACAATAATACTTAAAACTACAGTTTTCCAACATCAAAACTAATTATACAAAATCAAAGTAGTAAGGAAATAATGCAGATGCTTGATTTTATATTCCAATTTTTTTATGAACTAACACCTAGGGTGCAAAACAAGGTAAGATTAATTTAATATAAAGGTAAGATCTATTCTTTGTAACTATAGTGACCAACACAGGTTATGTCTTCCCAACTATTTTTTTTGTCTTTAGTAACATTTTCTCCTGTTTGTCAATACTGTGTAACGATCAATCTGCTTACTTGTTTGGGTGGGTGTCCATTTCCACAAAGATGGCCTGCAGTAAATATAACATAGTGGAAAGACTTTCCTCCCCAGCAAAACCCCCTATGTTGTTAATCACATTTCTGAAAAGGAGAAATTCATTTTTCTATTAAGGAAGAAGGGATGAAGACATAAAAAAACATATGAAGCAAACAACTGTTTATGGAAATGAATGAGAAAGAAAGAAAACAAGGAAAAAATTAATCTACACCAGAATCTATCTTTAGGTGGGAGTGATTGTACATATGCAATCTCTACTAGGTTTTGTTCTATCATTATCATTATAATTATCATTATTATTACCACTATTTTTTTTTACACATGGGATTAGTCACCAAAGAGTCAATCAGTAGGCTTACCTTATCTCACTTAGTTACTGTATCCCACACCTTGACTTTTTGGAGAAAAAGTTTTCATTGCTAATATTTCCATTATTACTGTTCTAATAATGATGATCTTCATAATATTAACTTGTTGGATCTGGGCGCATGTGAGTGGACCAAAATCATTAGGCTTCCTTGAGTGGAGACTCTCCCAGGAATGTTTGGCACGCAGTATCAAGATGTGTTTTTTGCAATTTTGACAATTTCTTAGGTCTATATTGGTAATTTGTTTTACTGTATGAAGATACAATAGATTGTTTTTATTGAACAGACTCCATATTATAATAACAATAAGCAACATTGTGCTATCTCTGTTAGTTTTTATATTTTTGTATTGTTCAATTTTCCATAACACACCCTACACTGCTGGGAATGACAGGCAGGAAGAGTGTCGTGTGCATTGACACAGTATCCTCCCTTGATAAAATGCTTTCCCAAGCATGGTTGAAAGATGTTATACTTCCCCTTATGGACCAGTGGAAATCCTACTAGATCTTGTTGAATAAGCACCCTCCCTCTGCAACAATTTTCTGATGAGACATTCCCGTCACAAGCCAATTGGCCAAATCTTTTTTTCCATGACAAGATGTTCTTGTTATCTGCTCATCAGCCAAATTTTTTTCCATGACTAGATATCCACATCACCCAGAACCAATGGCTTAATGTTAATAACAATAACAATCAAAACAGAAATAAAGACTTTTCTTCATGTAAAATAAGGGGACCGTCCCTGAGAGAGGGGGGAGGAGGGGTTAAATTGAGTTAGTTAGCGTATAGTATAGGTACATGGATGAGGAAACTACCAAACGAGTATTAACCGCGCTATGGCTTCGTTGTCTTGCAGCCGGCGTGCGAGTCCCTCAGCACCCGGAGAGGTACGTCGCTATTGAGCGCCCAGGTACACCTATGTGGACTTTTTTTGCTTGCGGCAATCGTGCATAAGGCATTTAATTATGACATTGCGCATAGATATGAGTTCGTGAATGTTCAAGGAACACTTTATACCAATATCAGGAAAAAATTATATCACCGTGATTTATGACGAAATATTTTGTGAAATATATCTAAAAAAAATTGTATGTTTTGTGTCCTTTTTACACACGAAATATGCTTTGATCGAGACTCCCTGGTAATATGTTTTAGTTTACGTGGTAATATATACGTATATCACATACGAAGCACTAATGTTTAAAAATAGCCTTATAAGGAAGGATTGAAATATTTCCGTTACATTTCGCTCAACGGTCGGTACATCACAGCAGGGGGCAATTTGAATTGATTTGAAATTGGTAGTTACCGTTGTAAAGACCAATTCAATACGAATGTTACCTAAATGTCGGATTTTTAAACTTCGGATGTATAAGCGAGATACAGATTATTTCATGTTGAAGATGATAGTACTCAGTAATACCTGCTCTGAAATAAAAACTATATGGAATTTTGAGCTCGGTTGTATCGTAGTCTTCGTCTGGCGTTCAAAAAGCTATCGCATCCGTTTCGTGCGTTCCCGATAAAATGAATATGTTTAGACGTTACCGTAAGTCTTTAGGCACATAAATTTGCAAATATCCCACAACACATAGGCGTCTGCATGATTTATGCACTTCTTAGTAAAGATAATGGGTGCAAATGGCTATTCATAAACTTTCCACTTGTTCTCCCTTGCAATCTGTTAATATTGACAATTATCAAAGAAAATGGGTATGAGAGGGATAACTAATAACTTTTATTATTTAGATATGAAAGTCAATGTAGGCCTACTAAATGATGATGATTAATCTTTTTAAACTTTATGTGCGTGCGTTCACGTACATATGATCCTCCTCGAAATTATAAACACCCAGTGACCATCTCCCCCTCCCCCCCCTGTGTGAAGGCATGGGGAATATTCAACGACTTTCGTAAGTTCTCGAATTCAATGTACTAAATTCATATGCTTTTGAAATTCTCAAAATTGAACCACCATGTTGTATTCATGCCAGGACTTTATAATTAGAATGATTTTGTACTAATGTTGCCATCCACAGTTCCCCATTTCTTCAAAAATAAAAAATAAAAAAAAAAATTAAAATGGAAAATAAAAAAAATATTTTTTTTAAAAGGTTTTTATCTGGTTTAGATTAGTTGTCTCTATGGTAAAATGCATTTATTAAGCTTTTCACACGAAAATATCAACTTTAATGAACAACGAAAAAAAAAAAAAAAAAAAAAAAAAAAAAAAGTGACATACCTTTACAGAATAGCGTCCCTATTGAACATGAAAATTCCTATTGACTTGGTAATCATTGCATTGCAAAGTACACTAAATAAGCGTTTTTTTGATATATAATATCATTAGATTCAGAGAAAAATAACAGAGATAACGAACTTTGGCAAGGTGCCAAATACAAAACGCCGTAGCTCGCTATTTTTTTATGAATCTTCGGTACTTCTCAACTCACGTAATTTTCATGCGATCCAAATGCAGTTTGTTGCTTTCACTAGAGCCTCGGCGTCCCATAGCCATGTAAAGGGCCGATTTTTGAATTTTTGCCTTAATCAAAAATAATAATATTTTAATGCTGAAAAACGCATTCAAAAATAGTTCTCTATGTCAAGCTGTCCCCCGCCAAAAAAAAAAAGGAAATTCAAATTCGGCCTTTTACATGGCTATAGGCTACAGTTGATCTAACACTAGCATTTTTGGGGGAATATTCTGTAAAGAGCTCTGATAGTTGGGATGTACGAAGACATACCAAAAAAATGGCGATTTTTTTCAACTTTTTGGGGGAATGGGGAGCAAAGTTAAAATTTATATATATAACGAAGCGCAATTCTTTGCTCTATAGCATGCAAAAAGAATCAATCAGTTATCTCTAACCGATATTTTTTTATGATGTATAGAGTAGGGAAAGGTGGCCATTCTCAGGGACGGTCCCCTTAATATTCTTGTTATCTGCTCATCAGCCAAATTTTTTTCCATGACTAGATATCCACATCACCCAGAACCAATGGCTTAATGTTAATAACAATAACAATCAAAACAGAAATAAAGACTTTTCTTCATGTAAAATTATCGAATGAGGTAAACAGGGAAAGTCAGATAACCTAGTAACTAACTTCTTGGTGACTAAATATAAGTGAAGCCATCTATGTGTAAAATAAAAAAAAAGAAAAAAAAGAAAAGAAAAGTAAAGAAAAGAAAGGAAAAGAAAGAAAAAAGAAGAAAAATAAAAAAAAGAAAAAGAAAAAGAGGAAAAATCATATAACTATGATAGTATATCCAACTGAAAACAGTAGATCAGTGCTTGCTGAAAAATAAAATCATGTAAATTTGAGACAGAGTCAAAAATAAATTTAATAGGCCAAAGTTTACATCTGGATAATGTAAAACTTTGAAATTTTTCATTCTTTTTTGGTTGATTAACTTTTTAAAGGTTCTTGTGAAATAATAATCATTCTAAAATCAAAGTGACAGAATTAGACCCAACTCATGAAGCCAAAAAGAAAAGAAAAGAAAAGAAAAGAAAAGAAGAGAAGATGAACAAGTAAAGGAAAATCTAAAAAGAAGAAAAGAAAAGAAAAGAGAGAAAAGAGAAAAAAAGAAAAGAAAAAGAAAAAGAAAAGAAAGAGACGACCAGAGGAGAAGAGAAAGAAGGAGAGAAGAGAGAAGAGAGAGAAGAGAAGAGAAGAGAAGAGAAGAGAACAGAAGAGAAGAGAAGAGAAGAGAAGAGAAGAGAAGAGAAGAGAAGAGAAGAGAAGAGAAGAGAAGAGAAGAGAAGAGAAAAGAAAAGAAAAGAAGAAGAAAGAGACAGGAATCTCAAAAGGGTATACTCTGTATTGTAAATTATTTTCAACTGATAACAGTACAGTAATTAGTGTAAAAGCAAGTTCATCTATTATGAATAGCACAAAAATCATATATACCTGAATTTTGGTAAATGGAACAAAGCCTGTAATGCTGAATTAATCCAACATGTATTGGCCGTATTCTGTAAACCGACTGGTTTGGTGGGATCCCTTGGCTGGTCTGTGGGTCTTGCTTTTTCCTTTCCTGCTCCTGACTTTAATTCGGCCAAACACCAAGGGTTGTTTGAACATTTCTTTCTGCATTAGGGTATTAATATGTGACAAAAAAAAACTCTTATTAACAGAGATAATTTACTCTGAGAAAAAAATATGAAGACATAGCTAAAAGATTTTTTTTTTTTTCTTATCTTCTTTTTTATCTACTTGACTGAATAGTTTTTTTCTTCACATGTGTTTATAAACAGATGAAAAGTTCTTACAAAAAGTATCAACTAACTTTTTGGAGAGAGAGAAAAAAAGACACATTTTCAGTACAGGATACACAATTTAAAATAAATATAGCCTCTGTATCAGTAGTTCCCAACCAGATAATGGTTAAATTGTGTTTGAATAACTATAACTTGTACAAAAATATGGAAGGATTGACCTTTTTTCTTGGGTTAGTGTCACTTTCTTAAAGCTGCAAACTAACTTTGTCAAACTCAACAACTGTTTAAAAAAACTAATTACAAACAATTCCAGCAATTTCATTATACATCCATCTTACTTCTGTATACAACAAATTTCTATAATACTTCTAATTCTTTGTGCAGAGCTATTGACACTCTTAAAACTAAGAACACGTGCCCTAGTTTTATTCAATAATAGGATAAAGTTGGTTAGTAAATTGTAAGGTTGATTCCTTGTTATGTCTGCAGATTAACCCCTTTAGCAGGTGTGTCAAAGACGTGGCCTACAGTTGCGGTACACCCCATTCCTATGTGCAGGCAGTGGCACATTTGCTATTTCAGTCTTCCAGTCAGTTGTTTTAAATGATTAATTAAGCCAGTCTTTTATCTTTTAAGATTGTCACTTACCACGTACACTCTTACAGTTTTTTCTATTATTGTGTTTTTGTAATGAATGAAACCAACACTTATGGTCCATGGGCCAATTGTGTCCCCTCGAATAATCATTAGGTCTGTTACCCATGGGGTGCCAAGAAAAATTATTAGCCTGTGATATTACAATTGCCTTGAAGGAAAATAATGTCTTCTAGAATTTGTTACCATAAGTATCACCCTTTAAAGTCTGATAAGTGAAATAAACTTCATGTACAAGTACTCAATGCCTGTTTTAGTAACATAATCCTTGTAAGCCAGATATGATCCTCTGTTGGTAGCTGAAGGGAAAATTGGCTTGTAAAGGGTTTTGAGTTTGACATACCTGCCCTAAAGGAAGTGCATTACATATATTTCAGCACACATTGTACAGAAGTGAAGCAAACTATACCAAAATTCCTGGAAAATGATTGTCGTGTTTTCAAGTTTCACAATACAGATTTTAATCTATGGATTTCAAGAATAGAACTTAAATTTTGTAGAAACTGTTTAAGTGTAGATAGTATTGATTGTTTAATACACTAATGTGCCATACCTATATAACTGTCTGATGGTGTGTCCTTGAATACTTAAAAATAAGACTGTAAATGTACAAAAGGAAGAAGAGGAAAAAGACAGCCTATCACTGAGGGTGTCTCATCCATTGACTAATCAAGATTATTGGCAAGCAGGATGTTTCTCTATAAAAAGAAAAACAAAAGAAAGAAAAATTACAGCCTGCAATACAATATTTCATTACTACAATATTTTCTTAGTAGTACAATATTTTCAGCCAATAGCTCTTATCATCATGAAATGAATGTTAGCAAAACATAGTCTCACTGCCTGGAGAGTGGCCTCATCTACTGGAAGCTGAAGTCTGTCAACGTACACATGTCCCATAAAATGCTTCTAAGGTTTTCAGTGCTTTCATCCACTCACTGTTATGCAGAGTTAGCACTAAGAGAAATAACTATAATCTAAGTGGAATATTAACAAAATGACTGCAAACTTGTCATGTTTTTGACTGCTTTATCAAGATATATTTCTTCAAAACACAGCAGAGAAACATTGGGAGATAATGACTTGAGCTAAAATAGAAGTAAACCACATTCTGCACATAATTTTATGCGAATTTAACCATTTGAAATAGCACACATGTTAATCAAATGCCTGACTTAGATTTCTCATACTGACTATCAAATTCCTAAATCTATTTTTCCTTGTTGTATCCCTTGGGAACCACTGCTCTAAGAGCCCATAGCACTCCTTCATAATATAGTTTTTTACAGTTGAATATTACTGCGTCATGATAATTCCTTTACTGAATGGCCTTCAATTCCTGTACTAATATCTTCTGTCCACTGTTTCCTATAGCATAATGTAACTATGCTACATATTAGTTTCAAAAGGAACAGTATAAAATATCTCATATTATTCTAGTTACAAGCCTAGCTTAAAGCCAATAGCAGTCTTTTTCAGTAGCTTTTTGTTTACATCCATATTTTACAATCATATATTGCCTTTATGCAGAAAAAAATAGAAAAGAGAAACTCATGTTATCTCTGAGAGTGAATAACTAATGAAACCAAGATTACATTTTCATAAAGTAAATTTCTATAATTCTGAAACATCTGGAATCACTTGATCTTAAAAAGATACATAAAATACTTCACTAAAAAAGGAAAGTAGAAGATGAAATAAACATACGGGCATGGGAGATTCTTTGGTGGCTTGTCCAGTCCAAAAGTCTTCATTATGTGTTCAAAAGTAATCTGCTCTTCTTTAAAGATTTTAGGGAATGACACATCTTCGGGCTGTGAAATCTCAGAATTCGCTGGTGATTCCTTTTGTACTGGAGGTTCGTCTTCTGCAGGAGCCTCCCCAGTGCCACCTGAGTCTTCATCTGGGGTAGTGTGAACTTTGACCTTGGCCTTGGTAACAGGTAAAGAGGCACTGTTTTGCGACAAGCTGAGCACCCACTTCCATTTGTCACTGCGATATCCTGCCTTAATGTAAGACAGATCATTGCTGATTCTGTAAAATCAATCCCCCAAATTACTTTTACATGAAATAGGTGCTTACAAATAAGCATAATTATAAACAAATTGTTTTACTGTTACAAAAACTAGCCTTAGCTGACAAGTCAACCCTACTTTCCTCACAAACCAACAAGTTCATCTCAAAAATTAAAGAAAGACTATCTGACTGAAACAAAAGAAAAGAAAAGAAAGAAAAAAAAACAATAAGAAAAAGAAAAGTAAGAGTTATTTTAAGGGTATAGGGTATGTACCACATATAATAAACTTAACACATTGGGAAAAAATCTATTCAAAAAGGTGACTGGGCCTGCTGAACATGTTAGACCTTTTCAGTGATGATAAATCAAGTTATGGTACTGGCATAAACATTTCACCATATCTAGAATTTTACAATTCATGAAAAAAAAGAAAAATAACAAGTCTGCCATGAAATAAACAATCAACTTGCTAGGATTTTGAGTAGAATCTCACCATAGACATGCACACAAACACAAACATATGGAGGCTAAGTCATCAAAGCAAGTGGAAAGAAGCCAGGCCATAAATAAGGTTGCATTAAGTTTGCCTTAGTAAATCTCATCAAAATTAAATAATTGAAAGGCCTTTATCCACTGGTGCATCAATGTATAACCTGAAACAGTGGAGGAACATCTTTATCTCTCCTCAGGTGTGGAACTTCCACTCTCTATTTATACATATAAAAGAATAAGGTTAAAATAATTGCTTTGTATTGTGCCACTATTGGGTTGGATTTAAGATTATAGATGTTCCATCAAAGATCATAGTAAATTCCTGCTTTAGCTTGCATTATTAGCTTGCATCCCTCCCTCAATAAAAATCTTAGTCTGGCAGACCAGGTACATGAATTCACTTATTTCTTAAGATTTACTTCTATATTGCCTAGGATATAGCACAAGTAAATAGATTAAGATTGACTGTAGCAATGCATATTAACTTGGGAAAATAAATATCATCATGAATATATGTAAACCTTAAAAAGACATCTGAATATCTGCAACAGCTTAATGCTGATTGTTACAATCTTCATACATGTCAGTGTTCCAGCAAAAGACAGCAACTCCCACCACATATATTTTGTCTAGTTAAGCTTGTAGGCCTCATTGGCAATATATTAACTAAGTTATCTCTGCGTTATCTGAATATGTTGGTCATTGCCAGAGTACCAAAGGTATGGCCACTATGATCTTTAGACAACAGTGATCACTTGATATGGTACTACTAGTGGCTTGACTTTGTTGCCAGTATGTTACTGACCATAGTAATTTTCAGGTTGAAATGGAGTGAACATAATTAATCTATGACAAGAAAAAAGTCTTGTTCTGCAACCCAATGCACTTCAACAGCAAATCTTAAAAATACACAAATAACTTTCTAATCAATCAAAATTTACTAAAGATTTTCTTCTTTACCTTCAATAACCTGACAACCTAATCCTATTTCTGTTACCATTATCTTTCTGAAACCATACAAAATTAACAATTCAAACTTTTACCAATTATAATGGCAAACATACAGAGTAAGCCTTGAGAAAACAGAAAAAATGTAATAATTACATTGGGTATAAACATTTTCTGCAAAAATGTAAAAGTATGGCCAGGATCACTCATACAAATCTTTGCTTTGCGGGTAACTTCACTGATACCATGGAGGTGAAGCGAGTTCATGAAGCGAGCGCACCCTTCCGAGACACAGACCCTATCACTCCAGTCAACAGGCTTAATGGCACTCCTGGGAAACTAAAAAAATCACTGTATGAGCCAAAAACCTTCTTCACCAAAAGTTTTGATCCCAGACCTCCACCCACTCACCACATTTCTGATATTTTAAATAAATATATCAAAAGGAAAATGGCTTCTTAGGAGAGATATACTGACCATGCCATTACAACCAATGTGAACAAATCTAAGTTGTTTGGACTTTGTCTCTTCAAAGTATTAGTCGCAGGCTATTTTCTTCAAATCTAACACAATTCATTATCTTCACTAATTTAATTTATCACTGAGCTTAGCTTTTTGCTCACTTAATAGCAGTACATTTCAATT